CTAATAATCCTGTTCCTCCTGTTTGCCCCATGGCAATGCTGCCCTTGAAGGGTCTTGAAGGCACCCCTTTCTCCCCAGCAAGATTTCTTTTCTTTCTTTTTTTCCAAGAAGGGAAATATATAAGAAAGGAGATTGCTGAGAATCTTTCTGAAAGGACAGTCAGAAGGAAAATAATGGCTTGAAGTAGAAAGATGCAGTTGTCATGAGATTCTCCCTGTCCTCCGAAATTCTGCTGGCGTGGAACAGTTCATTAGGAAGAATGGATCCCTTTTCTTTGGAGGTGCCACATTTCGACTTAATGAGCTGGCAACCCTATCAATGTATTGGAGTGTGTGTCACTGCTAGGCACAAGTGGCTAATGTGCTGTTTTCTACTCATTAGAGATAAACTGATTCATGAAATTGAAGGCAAAAGCTTCATTGCCCTGCATCTCATATTTAGATGGCAACACAGGGACTGAAAGAAAAAGGACAGCTTGGCAAGTCAGATTGGTGATTGCTCTCCGTGGACGTTCCACAGGTCCCAGCTTTGACCTTCTCAGATAAAACAGACACGGTGAAATACATTGGTCTCAACAAGTGGGATGAGTTTCATCTTGTGTGGTTTCAGGACAGCAGTTTCCTTCGCAGTGGTATTTCACTTCTCCTAACTCAAAATACCATTAGGTAACAACAAGCAAGGTGAGTCAGAAGAACAGTCTGCCAAATCAGACCAAGTGTCTGTGAAATCCAGCATCCTTTTTCTAACACTGTTCAACCATATGTCTCTGGGAAGCCAACAGGTTGAAAGTGATGGTGACAGCACACCCCAGCTGTTGTCCCCTAACAGCTGCTATTCAAAAAAGTTTTTCTTTAAGCCATACTTTGAAGTGAACTCCACATGTTCCAGAGATGTGAATTCATGAAAATATTCCAGAGATGTAAAGACTCCAGCACGTAGTCCTGAAGAGAGTCAGATCAAGTCAAGGGACCCTAGAATCCTAGACAGGGCCATTTAGGCCATTAACTCCAACCGCCTTCCTTATTAAAGCACCCCCAACAAATGTGTTACAGTTTGAACACATCCAGAGAAGGTAGCTCATCCCTTAGTAATCAGTTCCACTGTCCAACTCTTCCTACATTTAGGAAGGGTTTTTCCCCCTAACTTTCAATCAGAATTTGTCTTCTTGTCACTTAAGATCATTATTCAGTGTCCTAAATATTAGATTTTTAGGGAAAAAATTCAGATACATAAGTTCAAGGACCCTGATCTCAGGTCAGCACTGAATATTTTATGCATGTTTCATAAGCCAGTGTTCTGCGGTTAACACAACATCTATCTAAAGTGAGTGGAATATCCGATATAAATAGGCCACAAGAACAAAAGAAGCTGACATACTGATCAAATCTGTATAGTTCACTACTGTCAGCCCTGTCCAGTAAGAATTCTCTAGTATTTTATAAGTGAGTTTCCAGCTCTACCTGAAGATGCGGAGAAGTGAACTTGAGATTTTCTGTTGTAAAGTACATGACCTGCCATTCAGCTATGGCTCCTCTTGTGCAGACACTGGCACTTTGCATCCTTGGAAATGTCCTTTTGTCCTGCCTTACCAATGCTTCTATCATCCAAATCACAGTGCAGACAAGAAGGTAAGAGGTAGGATAACTGATGAGTACAAAACTGAGCCAGAACAGATTCTGGAAGCATACAGCTATCAGTAAATGATGCTCAAATCACCATCTCAGGACCATGGAAGGCAGCTCTGCAGCTAACATAATGGCAGATTCTCTGGATACTGGTCCAATTCAACCTCTTCAAGTATCCTCAAAAGCTTTTTAAAGGGGTAATGAGTTCTGGATGGGAGGGAAGGGTTTTAGGGTTCACTAGAGGAATCCAAAGTTCATGCTATGGAGTCAGAGGTAGTAACACTTCCCTGGAATGTTGGGACCATGGAGTGGGATCTCTAGGGTAGAGAAGTCCTACCTGAAAATGAAATATTTTTATCCTCCC